AAAACATGAAGAAATGAAATGCTTTTGAACGACAACAAGAACCCAAACCAATGTATGTATGTATGTATATTAGACTGCATCACCAAAAAAAGTTGCGGGTTTTCCGCCGGGATTACAAAATCTATTATTTTTTAAGACGTCCACCAAAATATTTCGGAAAAATATTGAGATTTAAGTGAGCTGGAACAATTTGAAAATACCTCCAAAAATGGAGTGTTGTATGAATAAAAATAGTTTCTTAAAGATCTTTTTGAAAAAGTCCCCTCAGATGACAAATCATTTAGGCTTAGACGGAATATTAATAATTCGATTTTTGATGCTGTTTTTTTTTTACTTTTTTCAAAAATTGTTTTACGAAAATCTTGAATAACTGGGCCAAAACTATTCTGATTTAGACTTATGGGACAGTAGAAAGGCATTTTCCCACTGTTTTAATTTCTGTCGAAAGAAAGTCATTCGTGTCCCAATTTGGATTTTTTTATTCAAATACCAACACATCTGAATTCAACTTTGACTGAGGTTCGTTCATCCTACTTTTCTCTTTCATCGTTTGAATGAGTTTATTAACAAAGAAATAAAAAGGGTGAGAAAATACCTTTCCGATGATACCTCACAAGTCTAAATCGGAAAAGTTTAGGTTCAGTTATTCAAGTGTTTTATACCAATCTCTGAAAAAACAGCATCACAAATCTGATTATTACTATTCCGTTACTTTTTTTTAAACTTTTTAAAGATATTTTTATGCAAATTTTTTAAGCTTAAACCGTTTTGTCATTTAAGGAGATTTAAAAAAATCTTTAAGAAACTATTTTTATTTATAAAAAACTCCATATTTGCAGGTATTTTCAAATCGGTCCAGCTCACGTAAATCTTAATATATTTCCGAATTATTTTGGTGGGCGTCTTAAAATATGATGGATATTATAATTCCAAAGGAAAAACAGTACCGACTTCTTTTTTTATGGCGAATGATGCAGTCTAATGTATGTATATGTATACGAGGTGAGAATATCAGTTAGCAATAAGTGGCTTAAAAACAACAAAGTCCTTCAATCTGACGAAATGCTAGATGAGCTTTTCAAAGATAGCGGCGAAGGTCTAGTAGGGTATGTAAATATGTATGTACATACACTCCTGCAGATTTTAACCGCAGTGCACTTGGCCCAATCCACAAAAAAAAACATAGTGCTGTTTGTGCCCAACTACTACAGGGGGACGTCTCCTTCGCATAGCGCATAAGGTCCTAAATGTTTTTGTGACTAAAACTAATTACGGCTAAGTAATTAGATGATTAAAAAAAGAAGAGTATTTTATTGATTGGCATACGATTTCCCATATTTGTGTAACAAAAATTCTTTTAACCCTTGACGACCGCGGGGTCAAAAGACGCCACTTTTTAAATTATAGTTTTATTAAAAAAATTTGATTGGCGCTTAGTTACAAAATGCATTTGTAGGTAAAATTTTTTTTTGTAATGTTGCAAAATTATACTCATTTCAATTTAAAACCTGAAACGTCTGAATTTCGAAATTTGGCTACTGAAAAGTCAAAAGGAGCAACCTTTACAGCATCACAATTGTAAAAACCCTTTTCTGAACTCCCTCATACCTCTACAAACCTATAAAGGGGATATGATTTAAAAATTAAATGAACAGAAAATGTTTAAGGCAGTGTCACATGATTGGGCATTTGCCCAAAATTTGCTGCGATTCGTATCCCAATCGTGTGAATGCACAAATATTTTTCTTTATCCCAATTACGAAAAACAATTTGTTCAAAATTTTTCTAAAGAAGTTCACTATATTGTATCAATCGTGCGACTACAAAAAAGATTGTCGTCCCAATTTTTTTTACTTTGCACAAATCTGTACAAATCTTCCAATCGTGTGACACTGCCTTTAGCAAAATTTCTCGTTTGAGGTAATTTATTTTAACCAAAAGTTTCCTTTTTTCAACCTGTATCGGTGACCGCGACGCTGGGCACTTTAAAAATTGTATACTTACTTACATACCAACTGCTGAGTGGAAGATCGACCTAACGCGGCAGCCAATTCGAAAACGCCCTATCTCAGAAAACCTTTCTAATTTAAAGAAGGTAGTGTGTAAATGAACACGGCAATTAAAAAACATTTCCCCTTTAAAATAGATAACCTCCTTTCTTAACATTAGAAAATAATTTGCTCAGAGCTATCAATAACAACAATCGTTGCTAAAATAAACTTTCTATAAATTACAGATTTTCTCTTAGCAGGTGAAATGGCAAAATCAAAAGTTACAAAGGCCAAACTAGATTTAAGTGTGTGTACTTGTATTGTAAACGCTGCTTGACGTATTCAATATTTCCTTTAAAGGCCGACAAGTCAAAAAGTGCAAAGGCAATTTTTTTTTTTGTGATTTCGATAAAATCGGATTAAAGCAACAGCTTGCCACCGTTTAACAACAACCACAAGGAAACTACAAACCTTTCGTCCTGTTAAAGCTGTGCACATTCGCACCCACATACATACAAACATACATATGTACATACATTATAATCGGTCTAGCTGCGAACTGCCTATCCGCCTGCCTGCCTGTCTGCCTGCCATGCCCATGTCAATTCGAAATTAGGGATGAAGGTCTTTACGGATATCTTTCCACCCTGTCTTGTGCCTATAAACATTCGCACATACATATGTATGTAAATATGTATGTGATGCACACAGATTGCCAGCTCATTCGCTTCCCTTTGTTGACTCATTTATGTACAAATTCGGTATATCCGTGCGCGGTATTTAGCAGAAACTGAAAGGGCGTTTTTTCTTCATATTTATTTGACTGAGTGACTTAAATTCTTTTATAATTTAATTATAATCACAAAACAAAAACAAAAACAAAAAAACAAAACAGCCAAACCTGACAGAGGGCGGAAGGGTGAGCTGGTGTGGTTTAAGCAAACCATATGCTTCGGGATTTTCAGACTATTTAAATGGTTTTGAATATAAAAGGTGTTGGTATCACCATTTGGCCTGATGCTTGGAGACGAGTTCAGTTTCATCTTGTTCATCGAAAAAACAACAAATAAATAAACAAAAACAAGTGCAAATCCAGTTACCTCACGCAGCGTCACGGATATCAAATATGTCAATACATTTGCCCAGTTTTAGTTAAGCTTCCACTAAATACTTACAGATACATATGTAATTGTACACGAGTGCATATATACTTTTTATATATACATACATACTATACTATATATTAGGGCACCACAGGGATAAGCCAGTAGAATATCGACATATGTCTTTTAGGAGTCAGTTAATCTTATTAAACAGCACTAGCTACATACATACTTACACACACACATACATACATACATACATACATATGTATAATAGAATCGCGGTATTTCGAATGGAGCTGAAAAATCATTCAACACCATTTCAGACACACTTTGGTTCAACGCGCTTCTTGTTTTTAATGGCGTCATAGCCTACAAAGGCCTGCACTTGTTCCCTCTCCCAATAACTATGTTATTTTTTTTAAATTAAAATACAGCACATGCATAGTCTAGAATTTTTAACAATTTTAATGAAAAGTCAAAATTAATTTGCTTAAAATTAAATTATTACTTAAAAAAAAGAGACTAATAAAATCAGAAAGACATGTGGAAATTCCAAGTTAACGCAAGTAATACGCGGTTACACTAAGAAAAACGAAAGCAAGTAATTTTCTTAGAGAAGTTACTTGATGGAATTTTTTTAGTAGCTTCCCAATAAACATTCGGCTTGGTTAACAATTCGAAAATGATTGGAAAACTAATCAATTTTTCCGAGTCTCACCTTCGATTACGAATGCGGAATAGATTAGTATTCGATTCGAGAACGGCAAAACGTCACCTTGGTTATCCAATGTATTTTCTCTTCGTTATAAATTCGAAATTCGAGCCCATTATCGAGTTGAAATTCGATTGTGAGAGAGTGATTGTCTTATATTTCGCTTCGAGAATAATAGTCTATTTCCACCAAAAGCTTAACTGAAGTCATCGACCGGATTTATTTCTTACTTTTTGCCTTTTTACTTTCCTTTACTTAACATAAGCAATTACCCCTTTCAAGTTGTAATCTCCCTTTTTCAAAATAAGCATAAACTGCAGTTAAGGCTTGGTGGAAATGAACCATAAGCTGGATTCCACTTTCTCTTTTGTTACTATGGTTTTCTTTTTTTTTTTTTGAAACCCATCTCGAATGTATTTCCAATATACTATGAACGTTCGAAAACTGAGGTTAGTTCTGAGTTCGTTCTCATTTCGATATGCACGTTGGATATCGAAGGTCATTTTCGAACGTTCGCCACAGTGTTTATTGGGTTAGTAGCTAGTACCTTCCCAAATTACTAATCAGTTTTTTTAAGGGGGAAACCATCGCAGGCCTGTGCATCTTATCCGCAGATTACTAAATCGTTTGATACAATTTTTTTTTTTAATACATACGTAAATATGTAAGTATTTATGTATAGTATATTCACTAAATACAGTACTTTAAACAAGAAAGTAAACGGATTTTTTTTTTTGTGAAGTAATTTAAATACCAAGAAACTAGATTTTCATTGCCTAATGCGAAATACCATCTCAAAAGGGATCCAAGATGG